TACGAGTTCATAGTGATATTGTTTGGACTAACTAATGCACCAGCTACATTTCAGCGCTGCTCATAGTGATGTCGTTCAGACTAACTAATGCACCGGCTACATTTCAGCGCCGCATGAACGACTTGTTTAGGCCATGGTTAGATAGGTTCGCCGTCGTGTATTTAGACGACATCTTCATGTTCAGCAAGACCCTCGAAGAGCATGAGGGTCATCTGAGGCAGATTCTAGGAAAGTTGAGAGAGTCTAACGTTAAGATTAATCCGAAGAAGTGCGAGTGGGCCAAGACAGAGGTCCTTTACCTAGGCCATGTACTAGACGGAGACGGTATTCAGCCCGAGGACAGTAAGATTGCATCAATTAGAAACTGGCCAACTCCTAAGACACTGACAAAGATACGTTCGTTCCTAAGATTGGCTAACTACTATAGGAAGTTCATAAGGAACTTCTCCACAAACGCTGCTCCCCTTCGTAGGTTACCGAAGAAAGAGACAATTTGTAAGTGGGACCAGAATTGCACGCCAGCCTTCAAAAAATTGAAGGCCTTAATAGAGTACCCTGTCCTCAAAGTTGCTGACCCGTCACTGCCATTGGTTGTCACTACAAACGCTAGTCGGTATGGCATAGGTGTCGTCTTGCAACAAGATGACGGCAACAGTTGTACACCCGTAGAGTTCATGTCAGCCAGGCTGCCCTCAAAAAAGGTAGCAGCATAGACATACGAGAGGGAACTCTACGCTCTGAGGCAGGCATTGGACCACTGGTGAGAGGGAACTCTACGCTCTCATGCAGGCATTGGACCACTCGAAAAACTACCTGCTTGGGAGGCACCTCAAGGTATATTCCGATCATGAGACTCTTAGATGGCTAAAGACACAGGCCAAGATGACGCCCAAGTTGACTAGATGGGCTGCTGAGATGGACCAATTTGACTTTTAAAGCCAGTAAAAAGAAAGTATAACGTGGTAGCCGATGCTCTGAGTAGAAGAGTTGATTACTTCGGCGCGATAGTGTACTATCTAGACATAGGGGCCGATCTGCGGCAGAAAGTAAGAGACGCCTATGCACATTCCTGAACAGAGTGAAGGAATCCCCAAATAGTGAGTCGCACTAACGAGAACCGCGCACGGGTAACTATTTGAAAAGACCAATGTTGCTGACAGACTTTGTGTCCCCAACAGTGAAGAGATCCATAGTCTGATCTTAGGGGAATGCCACGGTACATAGGGGAACTTCGGATGGCAAAAGACTCTAGCTAATCTGATAATGTCATACACATGGCCAGGCATCGAGTATGTGCGCAGCTGCAAAGTTTGCGAGCGCCATAAGACAACAACTAGAGCACAATTAGGTCTTCTCAAACCTCTGCCTATTCCATCAGGACCCGGAGAGTCAGTTTCCATCGATTTCATGGATATTGGGGTCAGAAGTAGGCACTGCAAGACTCAAGTCATGGTCATAGTAGATAGATTTAGTAAGTATGCAGTATTTGTTCCGCTACTGGCAGAAGTGCGGACAGATTTAGTAATAGGAAAGTTCTTTGATTTCTGGGTAAGGGACCATGGCATGTCGCTGTCCATAGTAAGTGACAGGGATACGCCGTTTACTAGCCAGAATTGGCAGGATCTTATGAAAGTCTATGGGTCTAAGTTGTTGATGTCGTCAGGACGACACCCAGAGACTAACGGCCAGACAGAGCAGATGAATAAGATCTTGCAGCAGCTACTCAGAATGTACATTAGACCAGATCAGGTAAGCTGGGATGACATGCTTCCCAAAGTAGCAAGTGCCTATAATAACAATGTCCATGAGACCAAGCCGACCGTTTGAAGGACTAAACCGGGACCAGATCCAAAGACTACCACCCGGCACTCGAGAGTTTGCGTTACAGCACGAGCAAGAAGTCACTAAGGTCATCGACAACCTTAGGAAAGCCCAACACCGGATGATAGAGCAAGCTAACAAGCACCGCCGACCCTCACAGTTTCAGGTAGGCGACTTAGTCTGGGTCAAGTCAAAGGAGTTCACACCAGAGGAAAACATCTCACAGAAGCTCTTACCTGCGTACAAGGAGAGGACGGCCCGTCATATACAATAGAGATTCCACCACACCTACACACGTACCCAGTCTTCCATGCGTCCTAGTTGTTGCCTTGCACCACGTCCAACAGATTTCCTCCAGGAGATCGATGATTCCGCCAGACATGGATGGTGCATATGATATAGAGTGGAAGAGGACGTGTTCAGGACAAGAGGTCGAGGTCATCCCCCAAAACAGCGTAAGGTTAGGTTTGCATACCAGGAACCCGAGGACGGCCGCTGGTTTACAAGACCGCTCCCGACATAGTACACGCTTTTGAGAGAGAAAGAAAGGGTAAAGGTCCTATCTTGAGTTAAGAGTGTTCTCAGAGGACCTCAAATTTAGGACGGCGGGTGTGAAACGGTTTCAGCCAGTTGACCCCACATTTGCAGACACAGAGATTTGATCCCTAGACCTGTGCCCGAGCCTTGTACATTGACTCTGTGTGCTAAGTGAGATTCGATCCCTAGACCTACCCTGTACCCTGTACATAGACCCAGTGATCTGTGTGAGACTCGATCCCGTGACCTGTCCTATCCACTAGGCTAGTCTGTAGGTTGGATAGGAGGACTCGATCCCTAGGTCTGTAGATTAGGAGTTAGTTCTGTTACCGTTAGGGTGAGGTCTGTTCTAGAAGTCTCTATCTGAGTCTACTGAGGCCTAGGGTCTGTTTGTAAGTCTGTAGGCTCTAGAAGGTCGTAGGTCCCTGTAGGCCTGTCCAGTCAGCAAATACCTGGGGTTGGGGCTGCACGTGGGGAAGGTTCTGGACCACGCGGTGGGTTCCACGCGTTCTGGCCCAGAAGGCCAAACGTCTGGAAGCTTCCCTGAGCCACACGTTTTGGCCCAGGCCCACACGTTTTAAGCCAGGCCCGGATACCTCCGAAGAAGTATAAATAAAGAGGCAGCGTCCAGCCATTCATTCATCCGCCCGTGAGCCATGCGGAAGAGCTACCTTGGTATCTTGTGCGTGGAGGTCTGCAGGTGCCCGGAGAAGAAGTGGGCAGTGAGGAAGACAGCGGCCATAGCTGGCCAGTGAGGAAGACACCGGCGGCCATAGCTAGGAGGAAAACAACAGCGGCCATAGCTGCCCAGTTGTTGGTGCAGACAGAGTATAGAGAGTGTGTGTGTCTGAGCTGCGTGGACATTCAGGGTGATCCTCGTACATGCGTGCATGAGGGACAGTGAGGCTGGTGGTGGAGACAGTGTTCGGCGGCCATAGCCGCAAGTTCTACAGTTGTATTGAACAGAGTTTAAGTGCAAGCTCGTTGTTGATTCTGAGTTGACGGTTTTGCCATCAGTTCTCGTGTATGCATGTGGAAAGAGAGTCTGAAGTTGAGTCTGATTGCACTTTCCCCTCACCATCCTTCTCTCTCTCTCTCTCTCTCTCTCTCTCTCTCTCTCTCTCTCTCACAAACACACACACACACACACACACACACACACACACACACACATATGCACACAAAGGAAAGAAGACAACGAAAAAGAAAATGGGATACAAAGAACGCGCCATGTGCCACGCGTTTTTTTTTTTTTCTTTTTTTTTTGTTTTTTTTCTCTTTTTTTTTGAAAACAGGAAAGACTGCTACGAGAGGTGATACCAACATCCCCCCCTAGCAGGTTTCCTAGTTGCTCCAATCTACTGGTGGGGAGCCTCACCTGCTGGAAATCGGGTCCAGCGTCCCATCTTACATCCACCGATATTCAGAGAGTAACCTGAGTAGCGATGCCGCCTGCCAGCATTGATTGCTCGGGACACCCGAGGATTGACTGAGCAGGTCGTCTGAGAGGGGAGACCCTCTTCGCCTGATGTCAGGTGCCAGATTACTGCTATACACAGTTTCCCCTCCCTTCCTCCCTTTCCTCTCCCACTATATTCTTCTCCTACTTGTTCCCTCTCTCCTCTGGTAGACACCTGTGGGCCAGTGGCCTTTCTGCAGCTTCAGGACTTCCTTTCCCTCATCCCGACTCATCCGTGGGGGGCACCAGGGGATTGCCGGTTGTCTTTACTGTCGGATGCCAGATAACTACTGCTATGCCCTCCCTTCCTCCCTTTCCTCCCCCTGTGTATTCTTCTCCTGCCTGCTCCCTCTCTCCTCTGGTGGTCGCTTGTGGGCCCGTGGCTCTTCTGCAACTTCAGGGCTTCCTTTCGCCCCTCCCGACCTGTCCCTGGGGAGCACCAAGGGATTGTCGGTTGGCGCCCAATTCTCACGTTAGCAATTTCTATAATTGTAGGGACAGTCCCCCCACAGCGAGTGTCCAATGGGTTCTTGTCAACAAGAAGTACGAGTGCATAGTCTCGCGATGGGGAGTGTCCAATAGAGTCATTTCTTGGTCAATGTACCTGTGCACCTCCAAGTTGGGAACCATTTCCCAGAACATCCCCCTTGTGTGACTTATGCTTCAGCATTCACCTATGCAAGTGCTAGCTCCACACATTTGTGCAATTCACCCACCCTTGTGCGAGATCATCATTTTCCAGCCTTAATCTGGTATTACCAGCGTTGGTCATGCCCTTCATCTGAATCCTACATGACCCATTATGCTTACAACCATCTCTAACAAGGCAGCCAATCAGAATGTTTCCTATGCCTGTGCTAGCTCCACACATTTGTGCAATTCACCCACCCTTGTGTGAGATCACCATTGTCCAGCCTTAATCTTGTATTACCATTGTTGGCCATGCCCTTCATCTGGAATCTACATGACCCATTATGCCTGCAAAGTTACAAACAACTCTAATAAGGCAGCCAATCAGAATGTTTCCACTTCTCTCTTGTACTGATCTTTGGGCAGGCAGGCGAGAAGATCAATACAAGCATTGCACAAGGCAATCGCTCTGTAACTAACCAACATTCAACACTGGCCAAGCAAGCCTCCATTCATATGACAACAGTGGTAAAAACGAGACAATAAAACTCACTCGCCAGGCAGATGTCCAGCAGAGAGCCGTTCGCGAAACAAGCCCCGCAAGGAGGGCCATCCAAGGCCATCCAGCAAAACGTCCAGCCCACCAATACTTCGGAAATGGTTTTGTACTCTGTAGCTGCATGCAATTGCTGATCTGAGGGTGCGTAGTGTCAGCCGTTCAAGAGCGGAGTCGTTCAACAGACCTTCAACTCGCAATCGACGGAGGATTCGCAAAAGCTCTGAGAAATATGTGCCAAACAACCATCACGAGACATGAACTCAGAGTCAACGACAAAGTTACATACTCCCCCATGTCAACCCACAGACTCAGAAACATACGTACTCATTCGTCCATTCTGCGTTTAGGAACATTTCGTAGCAATAAGCTTCAAGTCTATAGGATTCAGTCATTCAGTGCTGCCTAGTGGCTAATGACCGTACCTATGCAACCTAAGCATACAGACGGGCAATATAATTCCCAACACAGCTTTGTTCACTAACGCAAGAACTCCATTCCTCGCCCTCTAATGCATTCCAATCCGTCACTCATTTCTGTGGCACAGAACCAAGACCCCTTGAAACCTGGTATGATCAGTTTGGTATGTCCACAAAAGCCTAATTATGAGGTGGCTCTTAGTCATTTTCCTGGGAGACAAACAGGCTTTTTTCTGCAATACAACGAAGAAGATAATCACCGCCTCTGGCACAAGAATTTCCAGGACGGGAAATGACATTCTCCCAATCACAAACAATTCCCGGTAGTGCTCTCCACAACAAAGCTGGCAGTCATTTGCATTGCCCAAGGTCCAAGCACCGCATTCATTTACACATGGATGTCTGCCACATATTAGTGCGATCTTCCAGTTGAAAGACGAGTTGTTAATGACAGAAACATGCTTACCAACACACCAATTCAATCCATTAGTCTCCAGTAGTGGTACAGATTCCATGGACGTGAAGTGAGGGTTCACCGGGCTTGCATTCCCACTCCCACCACCATAATGTCGATGTCGAGGACTTGCTGGCCGGCTGCTTGGTCGGCTACTACCAGCACTTCCAGGGTACGAAAGCGTATCGGCGGCTCCGATGCCAATACCCCAACTACCTGAGCCAGGTCTGCTCCTTGGGGAAGATGATCTGGTTTCTGAATACCTGGACTGATGATTGAGTTCTGCCTCCACAAAGTTTGCAACAATGGAAATGACGTGTGCAAGGAGCAACTGCAAAAATGTCAACTGTGTGAAGATGAGCGAGCTGGGATTCCTGTCACTCGTCATTGCTGTTGCAACGGCCTTCACTTGTATCACAGCAGCTGCACAACAAGGGGGTGACCAAACGCACATACTCAGCCATCTAAACCACTCTTCTTCAAACCTTGATCCACAAGGGCAATGCACATTTGCTGGACAGACTAAACTGTAGCCCATAGCTTCTCTTTCCCAGAAGCGACCCAAGTAGGACTCCTGGACCTTCCGGACCTTTCCTTGAACACAGAACACGTGTCAACCAGAGGTTCCCATAACCTCCACCCAAGAGCAATTTTTTACAGCACAAGGGGCTAATCTATAGACCCGAACTTGTACAGTAGATTCCCTTAACGAACTGATATCGGGCTCTTTACAAACCCCACTTTGAACCAGTCAGCCACTCTGGGTGATCTGTACTCATTCACAAACGGGATAGCAACTCTGCAAACCATCATCTGAGACCTGCCCTCTTATCCCAAATTGAGCGCACAGTCGTTATAGCTGTATTTGGGGCTACTTACAGTCTAGAAACAGCGATAATGACCATCCATTCTACTCAGGGGAAGTTCATTACTGCAGCATGGTGACCACTGGAGCTGAGAAAGCTGAGAAAACAGAGCAACATAAATGGATGATCGACAGACTGTCATTCCAAAGTATGTTTGCCCGATCTACTTCAACCCACAACACAAAAACGAGCAAGCAACACCAAAAGACTACCTTCTTAACCCAAAAACAAGGTAATTACCTTGTATTCAACTTACCTCCGAAAAACGGGTTCTAAGAAACTGCTGTTAAATTTTTGAATAAGGTACGCACCTTGTATTCGAGGTGTGCCCCACAACTGTCAGGTAACTCCTCTCTCTCTCTCTCTCTCTCTCTCTCTCTCTCATCGTCCATGCACTTGGGCGCTATGCTCTCTCTCTCTCTGGCGTGCGCTGTCCACACACGCACCTGCTTCTACACATGGGCGCTATGCTCTCTCTCTCTTTCACACACACACACACACACTCAAACACACACAACGTTCGAATGCATGCCGTATCTTGAGCATGCAGCGTAGTCAATTGCAAGGAACACGAATGTGGGCGAAGCACAGAAATCCAGATTGCAAAATCACACTGAAGTCCAAGTAGTCAAAGCAAGAGCAGATAGCACAATGGAACCGAGTAACCAACCATTTGAGAACGATACAGAAGAATCGTGAGTCAATGTCCAAGCCCAATCGGGCAACACCAACAGCATAACCCAATGTAGCTCTCTCTCTTGAATGGCGCCTGGTGCCCTATCTACTCTACAGCCTATTACTACAACGACAGCATGAAAGCAACCAGACAACTTGACGACCAGCGAGTGATGATGTCAACAGCAATGCCGACTTCCTCTTCCACCAGGTACGTCCTACTCTTCTCCCTCACTCTCCCTTGTTATCCCGCCGCCAGCGCCCTGCGCCCAGGCAGTGCTCTACCGCTAGCGCTCGCCTGCCTCTGCTCAGCCTAGCGCAGCGCAGCACACATGCAACGCAGCAGCGTGCCGGCCTTGCTCGCAATGGCCAAGATCCCTGCCCACTCGCCCTCTCTGCCTATATGCCAGTGTTGCGTGTGGGCGGCCTCCCTTGAGCCTGCGCCTGGGCCCCAGTACCTGTACCCAGGCGCAATGTGGTTGGGGCCCACGCAGTACAATTGTGCCTCCTCCGTCCAGAGTCAGGTAGCGGACCGGTTTCCCATTGGCATTTTCGGCCTCTATTTCCAGCATGCAATGTCGGCCTCACGTTTATGTGTCCAGGGCCTAACCAATTCACAAAGGCCCTGGTCCTTCTACATTTGCAGAGATCCGGAACTCGGTGCACTCCAACCAACTGGCGTGCTTCAACTGTATGGGGCTCTTGTTGATTTGCTGGCCCGCCTTCACTTAGGGCGGGCACGACGCTTGCTGGGGACTTAGCCCAGAACATGTACATCATGGCAAGGCCCCTTCCTGAGGGCTCAATCCTCACATTCCATCCCCCTTAGCTTCGAAAGTCCGCTGAGATGCTTACTTCGCAGGTGCCTTCCCTTTTAACATTCTCTCATATTCTGCCAGCACTTGAGGAGCTGTGTCAATCAGTTCCTCTCTGGTGAACCACCAATCTTCCTTTGGATCCGTATGATGCCTGAAACGGACGCGATCTCGCTTGGGTTTTGGAGGTCTTCCTCTACCCAGCGGCTTTTGAACAGGCAGATCTCTGTGATCCACAATGTCGTCGATGTCCACTTGACAATCCATGGTTGGGGGCAGCATCGATCTCCTTGAAGGGAATTGATCTGTCTCAGCGAAAGGTGCAAGCTTTGAGGCATGAAAGACAGGGTGAGTGCGCAGATGACCAGGGATACGGATAACAAGGGTAGGACCATCCATCTCATCCCCAACTATATCCAAGACTTCCCATGGACCAAAACACTGAGGCTGGCGATGAGAGGCAACTTCTCATCCCAGTCATCCTGGCTGGGCTTGATGTAATGCCTCAGCAAGTGTTGGTTCATCTGTTCGGCTTGTCCATTGGCTTCGGGATGGTTCCCTGAAGTCATTTGAAGTTGACTGCCCATCTGCTCAGCAGTCTTCTTCCACAGCTCGCTTGTGAATCGGACATCTCTGTCACTAACGATTGACTTTGGTAGTCCAAAGTCACACACCCAGTTGTCCATAAACAAATTGATGACATGGTCAGTTCTTGCGGTCTCTGGCATGGCAATTAGTCTAGCATATTTGGTGAATCGATCTATGATGACAAAGATGTGCCTCTTGCCACTCTTACTGGTCACCAGGGTGTCCATGAAGTCCATGGAAACACTGTGTCCCGGACCAGCGGGGATAGGTAAGGGCTTCAGCAACCCAAGCCGTGCTTGAGTTCGCGGCTTATCCCGCTGACAGACCTGACAGGTCTCTACATACTTCTTTGCATCATCTAGCATTCCAGGACACCAAAATCGATGTACCAGATTGGCACTCATCTTTTTGTAGCCGAAGTGTCCAGTTGCGTCGTGACATTCCCCTAGAAATAAACTACGCAAACTCTCACTCGATGGTAAGGGCTTCAGCAACCCAAGCAGTGCTTGAGTTCGCGGCTTATCCCGCTGACAGACCTGACAGGTCTCTACTGACTTCTTTGCATCATCTAGCATTCCAGGCCACCAAAATCGCTGTACAAGATTGGCACTCATCTTTTTGTAGCCAAAGTGTCCAGTTGCGTCGTGACATTCCCCTAGAAATAAACTACGCAAACTCTCACTCGATGGAACTACTAACCTTTTACACCCGGACTTATCAAGAAAGAGTAACCCATCCACCATCACAAACTCACTTTCTGTGGCCTTGTCTTTTGCCTGAAGTTTGCGTATGATGTCCATCATGACAAGGTCTTCCTGATAGGCTCCCACCAACGATTGAGTTACTTTCTGAGATACACAAAACTCAGAAACTAGCGCCCCTAGGTAGTCACCTCTACGGGACAGCGCATCTGCAACCTTGTTGTACTCTCCCTTCAGATACTCTAGCTTGAAGTCATACTGGTCTATGACCTCAATCCATCGCTTGAGTGCATCAGAGAGAGCCGGTTGAGTCTTGATCCATTTGAGGGTCTGATGGTCAGTTCTCAAGTAGAAAAACCGTCCCAACAGGAAATGCCTCCAATGGAGAAGGGCTTTGTGAAGAGCATAAAGTTCCATCAGGCAACTTAGTCAATCTGACTGTTCTGCAATCAGGCAACTTATGTTTTAGCACCTTCTTGTCCCAGTCAAAATGGGGCTTGGCAACCTCAAGGTAGTACATGCCTAACAACATGTCGAATGGCAAGTCGTCGCTAACCAGGAACGAAATCTTATGATCAAGTTCCCCTCCTCCATAGGAGAAGGTGCAGACTACATCCTTGATATAGTCTGTGACAATCATGCGCTCCTTATTGGCCAAAGAAGATGCTACGGGTCTACTAAGGTGCTGTACCCGGTCCTGTAGGTGCAGCCTTTCCAAACAGTCGCGACTTATGTAATTCCGCGTGGAGCCAATGTCTATGAAGGCACCACATTTGCGGCCTCGTACATCAACTTCCACCATGAAATGTTCCCCTCAAGGACCTTTCCTTAGTGCCACCCAAGATTCACGAGGGTCCTTGTTTGACCACTCACTTTCCATATCTTCTAAGGCTTCAGACACATCCAACGTACAAAGCATAGTTTGGTCTCGATAAGTCTGCGGGGTGACTAAAGAGTCGTTAGCTATGGCCATCTCATGAAGTGGGGAGGGTATCTGGCCCACTTCACCATGAGTAGAAGCAGCTAAAACTTCCACTGTCCTCACGTGTTTCCCGAGTTAGAAGCCTGGGAAGAAGGTGCCCCCATCTTAGGAGGTATCTTCCGCGTGACCTTTGTGTTCTGGCACTTGTACTGGGTGTGTTCGTATTCACCACAGTTAATACAATCACCACGCACTCGGCGGTCCCGCCACACTTCTTGATCAAGACCTGCCTTGACCCAATCAGCAACTTTGGTCTGATTGGAGGCGGCCTTCCCTTAACTCTTTTGATGGCCCTTCGATCGACCACCAGCCTTAGCCTTAACTACTGCGGCGAGGGTGCTACCCTCAGCGATCTCCTCGCCGTCGTACTCTGAAACGTCCAACAGGTCGGTGAGCTCTTCGATCTCTGTTCGAGTCCCATCGGACTCGACCATCATCAATTTAGCCCCCTTCTTATTCCATTCCTGTGAACTCTTCTTCTTCCTCGCGTCTACTGAGGTAGGTTGAGCACTTCCTAGGGTGGACTTTAAGTCCAAAGCTTTCCTAGATAAAGTCTCAAATGAGTGATACTCAAGGCGAGCCTCACTGGCCAGCAAATTCCTGAGATTCTCTGGGAGACATCTCACAAATGTGGTCAACAAGAATTGGTCATCGTAATTTATGTCGGGAACGACAATGAGGCTTTCTACGGTAGTCGTAAGCTCTCTGACTGACTTGAACTTTCTTTGGTCTGGTCTGTGCATCGCATCAGTGGCCATTTGTGCCCGCTGAGGATTGTGCCAACGAGCTTCTACCATCTCTAAGAACTGGTCTAATGTAATGGTCTTAGCCCAGTCCGCCATGCGTCGTCCGTCCCCGGCCTTTGCAACTAAACCATCCAGCCATTTGGCTGCCTTACCGTCAAGGTAAGATGCAGCAATAATCACCTCCTCCTCCTGCAAAGTCCACTTCGCCTTTACCCATACTGGAACCATTCTCAACCATGTGTTGAGTTCCTCGTCCTTCTTCTCGCCTGAGAAGGCAAGAGGCGGTTTCATAGGGGTCTTAGGGTACCATTGACCTTGTGACTGTCCCTGTTGAGGAACTGGTTGTTGCGGTGGTTGTGCGGCTGCTGCAGACGTACCACTTGGTTGTGTGCCAGCTTGTACAGGAAAGGGGCCTGACATCGCGGTTAACGGCAACGGCGACTGTGCTGCTGGCCTATATCCTGGTCTTTGCAAAAGATCCAAGATCTGGTCTAGAGAGTTCTGCATAAAGTCCAATCTGCTGTCCACGTGCGCATGCAACGACAACATATTGTTTTCCAATACCTTCAGTTGGTCAGACATTGCTGACTCATCCAAACCCTCTAACGCAGCCTTGTCTGCCTCTAACTTATCAAGCCTGGCTGTTCCATTTTTGATCTCTCTTTCTCTATCGGTTGTCTGCTTCAGTTCCCTCTCTAACTGCTCGCGGATCCTTTCGACCTATTGGAGCTCTAAGAGCTCCCTGCCGCGTGGGTCAACCGGCTTAACTGCGAGCCCGCCATTTGACTGATAGACTGACCAGTACTCATTGAACCGGAAGTACCCGTGGGCCCAAGGGGCATTCCCAACTGGGTCCCAGACGAGGACGCAGCAGAGCCTTTACCATTAGTCATTGCTGCTGCTCTAGCTGCTGCTGCCTGCGTTTGCTGCTGTCAACGCTGCTGCAAGAGCACGGGCTCTTCGTTCGGCACGAAGCCGTCTTTCTTCTTCCGGTTGTAAGGCCTGAAACACGTGGGGGACCCTAAGTGCCCTCGAACGTGTTAGTCTCCTGTTGTCAATTCTACCCTCATCGGTGTCTGACCCACTCATCAGTTAGGCAAACATTGTCTGCACTACAACCCCCTAGTGGAGTCCTACCACAGCATGTGTCTGACCGACACCTAATTTTCTAAAAACAATTGTGTCCGGCAGGTCCCCTACTTTACCGATCAAGTGACAGCCTATGACATTCACCAAAGACTGTCAACATAATTTAGTTCTACTGTGATTAGTTCTCTTACAGCAGCATTAGATAGAATTGGCTATGGTAGTATACAACAGTCCTACTCTAATCTGTCTGTGAGGTGTTAGCAGCTGTCAACCAACTAATCAATAATAAAACAAGACTATGTTGCAGATGTATGAATAGTGGGTATGGTTGTGTTTCCAGTTGAGCACCAATTAGAACCTACCCTCCCCTCAATCCGACATACCGAATAGCATCAATGAGCAGCGGTGTCTTCGTGTGTGTTGTCGGTCCACCCTTGTGCCCAAGTCATTGTCGAGCAAGCCAGCCAGTCCACTCTAATTTACCCTCGTACGGAACGAGCCTTCCTACCCGGGTTGATCTGGCTGATCAGGAGGAATTTAAGGAGAACCCCCATCTCCGCAGGAATTATTTAACGTTGCAGACAGGACGACGATCACAGCCAGTATCAACACCGAGTCCCCAACCAGAAATGTTTATAGACGGTCTGGTAAGCGTCTCATAAAAGGCTGGCACACCCAGCAGGACTTCTACAGCGCAGCAAAGTGCCAAAATGGACAGCAGCCATCGCATGCGTGACCTACTCCCATTGGGTTGGCATGGTGACCGTGACCCAGTACTTCAACCAGGGCCCTTCAGAGGCATCGCCCTTTCTCCTTCCAGATGCTTCCAAGAAGATTGTCGTCTCTCAAGGTAGCGCGCACACGACACCTCACCAAAAGAGAGGACTCTCAAGTTGGACTCACTTCCTCGCGGTAAGAAGAGATTGAGAGAGTAGATGAGGTAAGGGAACAACGTACCGCATGCTGGAAATAGAGGCTGAAAATGCCAATGGGAAACCGGTCCACTACCTGAATCTGGACGCAGGCCTGGATGAAAGAGGCACAACTGTACTGAGTGGGCCCCAACCACATTGGGCCTGGGTACAGGTACTGGGGCCCAGGCGCAGGCTCAAGGGAGGCCGCCCACACGCAACACTGGCATATAGGCGGAGAGGGCGAGTGGGCAGGGATCTTGGCCATTGCGAGCAAGGCTGGGACGCTGCTGCGTTGCACGTGTGCTGCGCTGCGCTAGGCTGAGCAGAGGCAGGCGAGCGCTAGCGGTAGAGCGCTGCCTGGGCGCAAGGCGCTGGCGGCCAAAGCCGGGCTGCCTGTGGGCGCAGAGGAGGTGAAGGGCGAAGGTGGTTCTTCGGAGGTGAAGGGCGCTGTGTGGGATAACAAGGGGGAGAGAGGGAGAAGAGTGGGACGTACCTGGTGGAAGAGGAAGTCGGCATTGGTGTTGACATCATCACTCGCTGGTCGTCAAGTTGTCTGGTTGCTTTCATGCTGTAGTTGTAGTAATAGGCTGTAGAGTAGGTAGGGCGCCAGGCGCCATTCAAGAGAGAGAGCTACATTGGGTTACGCTGTTGGTGTTGCCCGATTGGGCTCACACATTGACTCACGATTCTTCTATATCGTTCTCAAATGGATGGTTACTCGGTTCCATTGTGCTATCTGCTCTTGCTTTGACTACTTGGACTTCAGTGCGATTTTGCAATCTGGATTTCTGTGCTTCGTCCACATTCATGTTCCTTGCATTTTGGTATCGGAGCTGGTTTGATTCGCCACTTACCTTGGTGCGCTGGCGTTAAACAGACTTGGTGCATTGACGATGCTTCTTCGCAGTTGGTTCTTGTGACGTCAGGCCATATTAGGCGCACGACCTGGGTAGACAGGTGTGCGCTGGAAGGCTAAGAAGGCATTGATTGCCGTGGTGACAGGCGGAATGTATGATTGGTGATGAGAGCATGCTGATGTGGCATTCGGCTGAGGTGGCACTGCATTGCGTTGTGGGTGGTACCGAGGCCAAGACCGGTCATCAAATGCACACTCAGCTCAATTGGTGAGAAATCTGTAGTTGGGGCCTAACCAACTCACAAAGACCCTGGTCCTTCTGCATTTGCAGAGATCCGGAACTCGGTGCACTCCAACCAACTGGCGTGCTTCAACTGTATGGACCCCACTTCGTGAAATGTTTGCACAGAGGACTCTTGTTGATTTGCTGGCCCGCCTTCACTTAGGGCGGGCACGAGGCTTGCTGGGGCCTTAGCCCAGAACATGTACATCATGGCAAGGGCCCTTCCTGAGGGCTCAATCCTCACACAATGTGTTCTTTAAAAAAAAAAAAAAAAGCATGCTGCAGCCCCATCCTGGTAACAGCCGATTGTGTTCTATTCGTGCTATTATTACCAATATTTACTGTCTCTCTCTCTGGCGAGCGCTGTCCACACACCCACCTGCTTCCACACATGGGCGCTATGCTCTCTCTCTCTTTCACACACACACACACACACGCACACACACTCAAACACACTCAAATACACACAACGTTCGAATGCATGCCGGATCGTGAGCACGCAGTGCAGTCAATGTGTTCTTTAAAAAAAAAAAAAAGAAGCATGCTGCAGCCCCATTCTGGTAACAATCGGTTGTGTTCTATTTGTTATATTATTACTAATACTCACTGTATGCTCTCCCCCGTCCCACCCCCCTTGCCTAGGAAAGTTGCATCCTAAAATTTGTTGTACAAGGTGCGTACCTTGTATTTATTCGAATACAAGGTATGTACCTTGTTATCAGGTTAAGACGGTAGTCCAAGATGTGGGATGTCCTGAGGCAGTATGTTTTGCGCAATCTAGGTCAACCCACAGCACAAAAGCATGCGAGGAACACCCAAAGACTGTAGTCCACCAAGAACCCAGTTATGAAGACGAGCATCACCTTTCATCAATCGCATGAGGTTTCCAAAACCTTCATAGAACACAAATATTCTTCTGTTGTGGGCAGACCGAGTAGCGATATTTAGCGCGTGCAGCAAGCTTAAACCGAATGCATTCTCCTCCGCATCTCGAAGCTTCAGTTCCACATCATCCTGGCTCACTGATGCTGCAAATTCAAAAGCAAAGCGCATCAGAACACAGAAAACCAATACGCATCACTGGATACAAAATTAGGACTCCCAAGAAATGCAGACTGATCACCTACAAGGTGCGCCTACACAGACGCACAAAACAAAAGCAGACCAGACAAAGATGCAACACAGCAGTCGCAGATGCACAATCCATAACCAGAGAAGACAGAGATGCACACAACATGAGCAGAGAAGACACATGCACAGAACACAAGCAGAGCAGACACAGATTCAATGCCCATAAGCAAAGCAGACACAGAAGCAGAAAAAAAAAACAAATCCATGGTAGAGAATGCAATTCGCTGAGGAATTCACTGATGCAAGCACCACTGGCTGCCACAGAAGATACCAACAAACGAAGGCACAAGGTTCACAGACGTCGTACCAACATGGGAAAGCATCATCCACATTCCTGCCCCAGAGTGCAATACTGAACGAGACAATAAATTCTGCCATTTTCCCCTGAATACAACGCACTCTCATCATTGATGAATGCAAGCTATCATTACGGATGCTGTTTTGGGTTCAGGGGCATGACACACACACAGTATCCACAAGCAGAGCAGACAGAGATGCACAAAACATGAGCAGAGAAGACGCATGCACAAAACACAAGCAGAGCAGACACAGATTCAACTCCCATAAGCAGAGCAGTGAAACGGTTTTCACCTTTGCAGTAACAGATGCAGATCCCAGGGCTCGATCCCTAGACCTTACCTCACGCGACCCTTGTGTGTTTTGAACCCGTGACCTATGTTTTAATAGTTACTGTTGTCTGTCATAGGTCTGTGTAGGTGTCGGGTCTTGAACCGTAGGTTTGTCGAGCAGGGGTCATAGCTGTGTAGAGGTCGTAGCTGTTGCAACTCTGAAAGGTCAGGGTCGTAGCTGCTACAGTTCCGAAAGGCCAAGTCCACAGTCCAACTTTGCTTAGTCGGCGGTCCCCAGTCCCAGTCTCACTTTATCCAGTCAACAAGTACCATGTGGGACTGTGTGCACCATGGGCCGGTGGAAAAGGGGCAGACCAGCGACCAACAGAAGTATAAATCAAGAGGCAGCATCCAGCCATTCATTCATTTTCTGCGTGAGCCATGCGGAAGCGCTGCCCAGGCATCTTGTGCGAGGTGGTCTGCGGATGCCCGAGGTTGAAGTGGGCTCCGAGGGAGATAGAGCAGCCATCGCTGCTAGTAGTCAGGGTAGACGACGGCCATAGCCACCATAGCCTAGACTTAGTCTACAGCGTGTGAGTGAGTGAGTTGTGTGTGTGCGTGGGATATCCAGGGAGATCTAGCGAGGAATGCATGTGAACAGCTGTGTGAACACAGTGCCGGTGATGAGAGGTGTAGGCGCTCAGGTGCCATAGCCAGTTTGAAGAGAGTTTGCATCTGAACTGTGTTCGTGGCCTTAATATCTCTGAGCTTTGTGTGAGCACCTGGCGCCAGTGTTGATTTGCCATGTCTGTACGCATGCGAAGTGAGAAGAAAACGAGTCTGATTGCATTGGTATCAGAGCTGGTTCCCGCTATTCCATGTGCCATCGCCGTTGTCAACAGGAAGGAGGCGCCATAGCAGAAGTGCGCCATCGAAGAAGAAGGGTCCGCCATAGCTGCGGCGCTGAAGGAAGGTGCCGCGTACCTGCAAAGAGACAACGACGAAGAAAGAGAGAGAGAGAGAATGGGGGAGAGAGAGAGAGAGAGAGGAGCGATACAAGATTGGTTGTGTGGTCCGAGGAAGGAAGTGGCAGCCATAGCCGCCGAGCTCAGAAACGGAGTAAACAAAGAAGAAAGACGATCGAGATAAGGAAGGAGAAGCCATAGCCGAGGAAGAAAAAGGAGAGAAAAAGAGGAAAGAGAAGCCATAGCCGGGGTGAAGAAGAAAGAAGGAGAGGGGAGGGAAGTGAAGGTTGAAGGGAGAAAAGGAGTGGACAGCCATAGCCGAGTTGTGCGTTGACCAAGCGTTGACCGAGGAGTTGACCAACGTTGACCAAGACTTTGACCAGGGAGTTGACTGGCATTGACCAAGGCATTGACCAGCGAGTTGCTCAAGCGTTGACCAGCGTTGACCGGAGCTGTTGACCACGAATTTGACCAAGCTGGAGTTGGTATACTCTCGCCAAGCCTTCAGCCTATCCCCTCGCCCTATGGATGTGCACTCACCCCATGGTACTTGCCGAGTCTGTCTCTCTTCTTTCTGCATTGAGTGTCTTCTGTCCAAGTGATAGGAACTCCGTGAATGTGGTCATTGAGCTGTGTTGACCAGACCCACACGGGCTGAGTAGGGCTAAAGGTCGTGTCTGACGACTGATTGACCCAGCGGACAAACCCTCCCAAGGATCGGTACAGAACGGCGGGCTGCTTTGTGTGGCATGGTAGGCCCAAAATCCGAGCTGTGGGCTGCACAACCAGCTGTCTAAGTCTTGAGAGGACTTGCTGATCGCATCGTCCTGTTTGCGACGTTAAAGAATTCGTGAGGAGTTATGGGGGATCTCCTTAAATGCCTCCTGATCAGCACTGGAGTCCTGTAATGACAGCCTAGCAGTATATTCAGGCTAGAGACCATTGTTGACAGGGTCCCAAAAGGATTTTGTGGTCCTTAGAGAGTCAGTTAGTTAGTTGGTCAATCAATGGGTGGAGGTCTAAGTGGTGAGGAGTGAAACCGTCACCCAGTTGTGCATCTTTCACAATGGTTGACACGCGTGGCGGTAAGAGCACCACCCTATACACCAAGGCTCGGGAGGAGCAATCCGCCGCCGTATTAAAAGATGAAGCTCTTGACACTTGGTTGAGAACAGTTCCAGTGTGGGTAGGGCAAAAAGAACGCTGGTAGAGGAAGAGGTGATCACTGCCACATCCTATTTGGAGATTTCGACAACGTGATGGTTAGATGGATTAGAGGTTTCAAAGGGATTTAGCAAAAACATGAGTGATTGGGCAAAGACCCATACTTTAAAAGGACGCTGGTAGAGGAAGAGGTGATCACTGCCACATCCTATTTGGAGGTTTCGACAACGTGATGGTTAGATGGATTAGTGGTTTCAAAGGGATTTACCAAAAACATGAGTGATTGGGCGAAGACCTATACTTTAGAGAAATTTATGGAGTTGGTAGAAGCGCGTTGGCACAACCCACAGCAGGCCCAACAGGCCACTGATGCGTTGACCCGACTTGATACAAAGTACAAGAACGTGCACGAGCTTACCTCCACCGTAGAACGTACAAGAACGTGCACGAGCTTACCTCCACCGTAGAACGTCTCATTGTGGTCCCTGGAGTGCCATGATCCGCAGGTCTTAATGACCATGTTCTTGAGATGTCTTCCCACAGACGTCCGGATCTTGCTAGCCAGCGAGGCTCGCCTCGAGTATCATACGTTTGAGACCTCTAGTAGGAAGGCCTTAGACTTAGGAGGCCATGCTAGGAGGTGCTCAACAACCCTCTACCGATGGAAGAAAGAAGAGGAGTCCACAAGAGTGGAAGAAAAACGGTGGTTGATTGATGATGGTTGATTCCGATGGGAATCAAACCATGATCGATGATGTATCTGATCTTGTGGACGTTTTAGAGTTGGACGGCGAGGAGTTAGCTCAGGGTAGCAGCCTCGACTCCTTGGTAAAAGTTAAGGCAGGTGGTCGCGGCAAGAGCGATGAACCAAAGAGTTAAGGGCAGACCCAGAACCCCAACAAGACTCTGGCTTGGGTGGGGGCGGATCTGGATCAAGATGTGTGCCAAAACCCGTATTTGCGAGGTGCTTTTGTCAATTGCAGTGAGTATGGTCACCAGCAGTTCAAATGCAATAACGCAAAGGTCACGCAAAAGATGGGTCCCTAAGGTGGCTTTGGAGGATCGTTTTCCCAAAGTGGAACCTCTGCGAGTTCCAATTCAGGAAACACATCCCCCCAGTAGAAGTTATAGTTGCTTCTATTCCTGATTTAGTGGGCGACATACCCTACCCACTTCAAGAGTTGGCCGAAGCTATTGATTCTCTAACCACCCCACAGACACATCTTGACCCAACGATACTTTGTTCTTTGGATGTGTCTGAAGCCTTAGAGGACTTGCAAAGTGAGTGGTCGGCAAGGGACTCTCACGACCTTGGGTGGCACTTAGTAGAGGTCCTAAAGGGGAGCACTTCGTTGTGGAAGTTGGTGTAGGTTGCTGCAAGTATGGTGCCTTCGTAGACATCGGCTCCACGCACATAAGTCGTGACTGCGTTGAGAGACTGTGCCTAGGGCACAGGGTGTAGCGCCTTAGTAGACCGGTAGCATCAACTTTGGCCAACAAAGAGCTCATGGTGGTTGAAGACTACATCAAGGATGTAGTCTGCACCTTCTACTACGAAGGCGGGGAACTGAATCATAGGATTTCATTCCTAGTCAGCGACAACTTGCCTTTTGACATGTTGTTTGTATGTACCACCTCAAGGTTGCCAAGCCCCAGTTTGACTGGGACCGAAAAGTGCTTAAGCACGAACTACCAAACGGGAGGACAATCAAACTTGCCAAGTACAAAGCTAGCAGTCTAATAAACACTTACGGATGTATGTGTGCATCAGCCTTTCATAACTATTATAAACAGAACCAAGAGGAGGGTATGTACTTAGTCTTTTTCTCAAGGAAAGAGGAGATCGTTAAAACACCCCAGAGATGAAAAGTGTCGTTGCGAAATACCTTGATCAATTTGAATAGCCTTCAGGAGTTGTAGACCGGGAAGCTATCCATGCCAGAGAGATCATCCCAGCGAGCAAGATACCGAAACATATAATCTATAGGATGGCTCCGGCCAAGTTGGACGAGCTTCGTCGGCAACTAAAAGAGCTCACAAAAAACGAATGCATACGGCCTAGTACCTCCCCCTTCGGCTCACCAATCCTGTTTGTCCCAAAGAAGGGGGGGACATTGAGGATGTGCATTGATTATAGAGGCCTCAATGCTATCACTGTGAAGAACGCACATCGATGACTTGTTGGATAGGGTGCAGGGA